TTATTATTATTATTATTTTTCATATCGGTGCATCCCTACATACACATATGAGACTCCAGTCAGACCTGCAACAGGGCAGCAATGGTGCCACAGGAGTGCCACAGCATCGGGGCCAGATCTGGCACAGATTCACGTTTCTTGCTCAGCTCCAGCAAGGCATTTTCTCTGGTCTCTGGACTGGACAGCTCGTTGATCCACTGGTAGATCTTCTCCCGGTCCACCTGGGCCAGGGCTGTGACGTTGGTTACAGCCTGTAAACAGAGCGGGAAATCATCATCAGCAAACATTCATCATCTACAATTAAAGTGAATCCTTGTGTGTATAGATGGTGTAAGGAAGGACACAATCTGGGATTTCTGCTCATAAAAATGCACCATACATATATTATTATATGTGTTACCACCAAATAATATCATCTGATTGTATGAGAGCTTTATCCTGGCATCATTTTAATTATAATTATTATACATTCACCTCGTTATGTCACAGCTAACATATCATAAACAGTGGGCCAACCATTACAAACTGCAGCCAAACACGGTTTAAAGTCAAGTTTTCACGAATACCACATTATGTAAAGCTGAATCTGGAAAAAATAACAATATTTCCATTCAAAAAATTACCAATATGTATGTTTAAGTGTCGAATAAGATGATTTTAACAACCTTTAAAAGCAAATTAAGGGGAAACAAAGGAGGTAAAACGTCTTTTAGTACAATGCGCCATTAGTTACTCACTGCTCCGGTCGCCAGCATTGTCTGAAGCTCTTTCTGGTCCCGATGTGTTGTTTAAAAAACCACAATATCAGTGTATGTGTGTGGTGTGGTCGCAAAACTAAAGTGGCTGCAATGAAAAACAAAGTTGTCGCACTCAGCTCAGCCCAAAGCTAGCTGCTAAGTGTCCTGACAAACTGAGTCCAGCACATCGACATTACCAACACAACCCGATCAAAACAGCACAAAAACACAACACCGCGTTAATATTCGCATTTACGTGAACCCGTAACACCCTCGAGAGCTCAAAAACCGACCGCTACAGTTTAAGAAATCATAGTAAATCCAGGTTTTTCTCTGTGTTTTAGTGTGTTTTTAGTGCCAATGGAGGCAAAAACCTAAATACAAAACGAGAAATCTCGCGAGAGCAGCATCGGCATCTCTTGTACTCTCGGACATCATTTCCGCTGTAACATTCCCGCCATCATCGCGCAGTGTCGCGGGGCGTCGTGTTGCGGCTCCACTGTCAACAACAGACGCACGAAGAGGAGGAGGAAGAGGAGGAAGAGGAGGAAGGAGCAGGTGAATGCCGGCAAAACTAACTTCCCGCCCCTCGGAGGACCTGCGAGACACGATATTGTGATTTTAAATAGGAGTTTCCAAGGAGAGGACACACGCGTCACCGTCGACAGGTAAGAAAAAAAAAAAAAAAAATTCCCGCGGCCGTGGACTCGAACTGTGACTCTGTTCGCACCACCACATTATTAGCCCCGTTAGCTTGCTCCCGCTAGCCCCCACTGCTAATGTCGGCCTCCCTCCATCCATTCAGCGGCTGTAGGTGAAGATTGTCTCCAGATATTATTCCGTCTGTCTCTCTGTCTGTCTGTCTGCCTGTCTGTCTGCCTGTCTGTCTGTCTCTCTGTCTGTCTGTCGGTGGGTCGAAATGTGTCGTGCAGATTGTCCGTTCGGTTAGTTTGGCTGCTGGAAGAAAACGCACGCCAGGCTTCATTGGTTAGCCAGCTAACACAAGTGGCGTGAGTTTGCCGACTTTGTGATATTTCTTCTCCTCCTCCTCTTCCTCTTTCTCCTCCTCCTGTTTGCATTCTGCTTACAACGTGTCTGTGTTTTATTTGCGACACTTTGACTTTTAGTTGTGACTTTGAACAAGCGCTCAGTTTTGACCATAGCTGCGAGTCTTAATTGCGTTATTCTGCAGCTGAGTAACGTTATATTAAGCAAATGATTCAATAAGCTGCGTTATTATGGTTGTCATTTAGTGGCACTGATGTGGTTAAAGACTAGACACACAGAGTGGATTACAAATGACACAGCTGCTTTATTTTGACCTCTTGTGTTTTGTTTTTGTTTTTAGGATTTCCTCCAACTGGACAGTAAGCCATGGCAACCATAGTGCCCAAACTCTCCAGCGGTGGTGCCGTGAAGATCCGCTTCACCAGCATTGACCTGGGCACCACCAGGTGGAAAGAGGGAACGTTTGAGATCCTGGAAAAGGACAATAAAGTCAACCTCTGTCTAAGATTCAACTGCGGCGGAGCTACCAAAACCTTCCAGGTATTTGTTCGGTTTGTTTAGTGGAATATAAAGCAGTATTCAACATTAATTTGTCTTCGTTTGAGAATCACCACTGCAACGATAATATATAAACAATAACAAAACGCCAGAATATTGTGCATGCTTGCTTAATAATGTCATTAGTAACACCTGTGTTTTTTTCTTTAAAGACAAGTCAAATGTCGGCCAGTTCATGAGTACTACACGTCATTCCTTCACTACCAGTCCTATCAGTTAACTACAACATCAGTCTGGTGTTTGTTTATAAAGCTAGTTACTGCTTCAGCATCTACAGTAGTAATTCAGAGCATCTAAAAGAGGGTTTAGTGTTAAAAATATCATAATAAACAACTGGTTGGACAGAACTGTAAACCTTTTAATGGCATGGTTCAAGTCTGAAGCGACAGAGAAGTGAATCATGTTTTTGTGGAGACGGTAGTTTCTTAACGAGGGAAGTAATTTGTGTACAGTTACAATCCAAGTACATTAAAGTGTGCTGTTGTTGTTTATAGGAAAAACATACAGAAAG